AAAATCATTTCCCATTAAAAATCGCAATTACTTTTGCACCAGCCTAATACTCTAATGTACGCATAGAAATATATACTCTAAAATATGCCAATCTGTGAGTGTACACAATAAAACACCCATGTCTAGTGAGCCAATGCAAAATGTAAAGCACTTTATTGTGTATGATGACTACTCTTTCTTTATACAAATCTTCCCTATTTATATTAACACTTTCTATCTCCTCTGGCGATTTTCTCTCCCCATTTTCAAATTCGGAAGTCAGCTCTTAGATCAGATCAAGGCCAAGAGCAGGGAATGAGGGAGGAAGAGATTAATCTCTGTTGGTATGAAAGACAGTTGTAAGTGTGAGCATACTCCCATTTAATTTATCTTCTTCGTTTAAAATATATCATCACAAAAGAGGAAAGCAAGTTTTACCGAGGTCAGCATGTTGTAATACCTTGAGTTTTCAGAGGGATTATCAAGAGAGTTTTGCTTTAGCATCAGCCCATTAACTTGCTTTAGTCGCTTAAGTTCGTTAAATGGAGATCATGATTTGACTGGATGTTTTCATACTGCTTTTAAAAAGTAATAATATTGTACAGCTTGTTTTTTGATGACAGAATACAGTGATCAGTCCCGAAACCAGATATGATGCTTACGCTCTTTGCTTTTTAAATCTGAGATCTCCTTTCCTATCATTTCTAAGACACCTCTGACTGAAAACATGTGTTTGATTATAAAACTCCAAATGTTTCTAATTATCTTGTCAAGAGTAAATTTAAATTGTAAATACCTAAATTCACTAGGTGAAAAAGTAATTGTCTATAATGTTAAATTTTACTTGTTTCAGGCTAATTGTACTGCATAAGCTTGGACAAACCAGTAAAATAATTTTATATCATTTTTATGAAGTATAAGAACATAAGAGCTCCCGCACAGCAAAATAAACTGTCATCAGAGTAAACAGGCAACCTACAGAAAGGGAAAAATATTTTCCAATCTACCTATCTGACAAAGGGCTTATATCCAGAATCAACAAATTTATAAGAAAAAAACAACCCCATCAAAATGTGGGAGAAGGATATGAACAGATACTTCTCAAAGGAAGGCATTTACACAGCCAACAAACACATGAAAAAAAGCTCATCATTGATCATTAGAAGAATGCAAATTAAAACCACAATGAGATAGCATTTCAGGCCAGTTAGAATAGCAATCATTTAAAAGATAGGAAACTATGCTGGAGAAGATGTGGAAAAATAGGAAAGCTTTTACACTGTTGGTAGGAGTGTAAAGTAGTTCAACCATTGTGGAAGACAGCATGGTGATTCCTCAAGGATCTAGAACCAGAAATACCATTTGACTCAGCAATCCCATTACTGGATATATACCCAAAGGATAACAAATTATTCTACTATAAAGACACATGTATGTTTATTGCAGCACTGTTCACAATAGCAAAGACATGGAGCCAACCCAAATACCTGCCCATCAATGATAGACTGGATGAAGAATATGTGGCACATATATACCAGGGAATATTATGCAGCCATAAAAATAGATGTCCTTTAGCGGAACATGGATGAAGCTGGAAACCATAATTCTCAGCAAACTAATACAGAAACTGAAAACGAAATACTGCATGTTCCCACTTATAAGTGGGAGTTGAACAATGAGAACACATGGACACAGGGAGGGGAACATCACACATCAGGCCCTATCGAGGGGCGGGGTGGGGGGTGGGAGGTTAGAGGAGGCACAGCATTAGGAGAAATACCTAATGTAGATGATGGGTTGATGGATGCAGCAAACCACCATGGCACATGGATACTTATGTAATAAACCTGAACGTTTATCACATGTATCCCAAAACTTAAAGTCTAATAATTTATAAAGAACATAAGAAATAATTGCAAAATGTTTATATAGTACAGAATACAAGAGTATTATACCAAGCAAATCGTTCTCATTGTAGTGTAACGGATTAAGCTATTATTAACTCTTGTTTTATCTAATGGAGCAGCCACCTAAATTATATCAGTAGGGCCAGTCTTTGGGTTACACCTAAAACAAAGATGTAATTATGTCATGTCCCTGATTTCAAAGTCAGATCAAGACCACCCCCTCAAGTGCTAATTGATTAATATTTGCAACCGTATCTCCTTTCTAGAATTATTCCTAAAATATCTTAATTCTATAGCATGTCCCTTTCCCTGAGCACCTGCTGCACTTTCATACTTCATAATTACAACTACTCATTCATGATAATTTCTGCCTCTGATTGAGTCACCTGCATGTCTGCTGCCGCCTTCTTCAACCTCTGTAAGATCACTCAAAAGACTTACGGTATACTTGGAGTGTTTTCTCAAGTGAGATAAACCGTGCTGCGGCTGGATATATTATGCAGACTGCATCATAACAGGAACCAACATACCACATTACATAGTGTGTAAATATAATCAATACTGAAGTTTTCAGAAATCAGTATTTACTTTACTGCATTTTCTCAAGGCATTTTGGACTATGCCATACGAATCATGTGTCCAGAACACTATGCCTTGCTTAGTTCTTTGTTCAATGAAAAAAAAATAGTCATTGTGCTTAAAATGAGACTATCCAATTGGCAACAAATATTAAGACAAATTATTATTTACTGTGCCTCGAAAGAGTTCATCACGGCTGATTTAGTTGAATCATTTTGACAGGGTTTCCCAATGACTCACAGACCACTTGAATCAGAATTGCTTGGATATTAAAATAAATTTAGATTCCTGGATACCACCCCAGTCTGCAGAATTCTGAAATTCTGTGGTTCCCCTCCAAACACACATGTTTACCAGGCAGGCTAGATGATACACATGCATGCCTAGACTTGGGATTTAATGTCTAATACTTAGAGAAGCATCATCTTCAGGTAGACCAGAGCATACACCTCCCAATCTGCAACAATTTATTTTGTGTGTGGAATCTAAATGCTATTTTTCAATTGTTTTTCCCAATTACACTTTTGTGTACTGATATTTTATGGAAGGACAAACGAAAGGTAGAATTCCTTCTTCATCAAGAGTTGTCAGTCCTTTTTCTTATAGAATTGATTATGGCTTTTAAATATCACCTTCTTATGGTAACTGTGCTTCTTAAACACCATAGCTGCTTTTGCAACTAATATGCCTAGGTCTCACCCCAGAAAGCAGGCTACAGTGGTCTGGGATGGGTCCTGTCACTGCTATTTTATAAGGTTTTCCAATTGAGTCTAATGAGCAGCCAAAGTCACCATCATGAATTTGGCATCACAAAACCATGATCCTTCGTTGAGAAGATTATCTCCTGTCAATCACTCAAGTTTAGTCTGAGTAAAGTATTCCCACTTACATGTTCACATGGCTGTAACTCTTTTAAAAGGTGTGTTATTAACTGGCAACTGGGTAATTAAGCCACAAAGATTAAGCAGTCAAGGCCTCGTTAATGCTCTTATCTCCCACAGATCACAGACAGATCCCACATGACAGGAGCTGCTGGACTCTAGTTTTAGGGAACTGGGCACATGGCTGCTGGGTGTGGTACTTTACAGACATTGAAGAACAAAGGAAAGATTGAATCCCTTCTGATCAGTTACTTCAAAATAAATGGATAAAGTACTACCTGCTAAAAGCATTTCTGAATATAGAAAGGTCAGAGAAGTGAATCACAAAAGTGGGTGATTAAAAACATAACATGCCCCATTTTCTATCTTAACAATTGGCCTCAGTTGTACTAAAGCTCCCCTGACAAAAAAAAAAAAAAAAAAAGAGTATAGCTGTTTTTTACATGCATGGATCTAAGGTAAGCTCTTTTCATACCCACTTCTCTAAGCACTTGGAAATAATCTTTGAGTTAAAATTAACCAAAATCATTCTTGAAATCTGCTGGGTGTAAGGTACTTTGTGTGCCAGTAGTTCCCTTTTTATCTTCATTTGTTAAAATAAATTGAACTAAAAATTCCACACTATTTTTTTTTCAAAATTTTACTTAAAGTCTAAGTTTCAAGCATATCAGAACACTAAGACACATCTAGTTGTATATTATGCTAAAGCATTAAAGCAATGTAAAAATACAGCTTTAAAGGAAAACTAGAGAAAAACCACTTATTTTTGACTGAGTAAAATGTCCTTTTTAACCTTCTTAATAGTTCCTTCCCCTGTTTTAAATTGAGTCATTCTGAGTACCTGAGTTTCATGTTTTATAGTTTTATAATTTGTAACGTCTGGCAAAGATCAAGGATTCTCACTTTCCACCTCACAGATGTCCTTGCAAACTGGAACACGATTTAAATGGTTTACATACATATATTACTCCATTAGCGCCTAATTAAAAATACGTCTGACAGCTGGCAGACAATGAGGTGCTTCAGATAATCCAAGTGAACTGATCAAGGATGGAAAATGGCGCTAGTACAACTTATAGAAATTCATGGCACTTGTTTGTCATTTTTAGGAAGGTTTTCGTTTCTCCCAGACTGTATACATTCTGTGTACATGCTGTTACTGACATATTCATGTTGCATTTAGAGTAAATGTCATATTTTATGAGTATAAGGTCTATTTTTCTATAAGAAATTCTCTTTAGATATAAATGAAAATAAAAGGTCATTTTAAACAAGTCATGACACTTTTCCTGATTCCCTGAGAGCTAGTATTTGCTGCTTGTCCATGGGTTTGCCTTCTGTATATGTTAAAGTTTCACTTGGTCCTTGCCTTTGACTATTTGTATCCTGTATCTCTAATGAAATAGATAAGAAATAACCACAAATACTGTATTAGTAAGGGATCTTCAGAGAATCAGAACAACAGGCTTTGTAAGTAAGTATATTTAGAAATGTAAAGAATCGGCTCACCTACCTGTGGGCATGGCAAATCTGAAGTCTGCAGGCAGGCTGACAGGCAAGGGACCCAAGAGTTGATGTCGCAGCTATATGGTAAACACATCCGATAGCAATAACTTAATCACATCCTGAGACTCACCGTGCATGACAGACTCACCTGAATGGGGTGTTCCAAGCTAGGGAATCCAGGAGTGGCCAACCAGGAGATTCGTTCATTGTCCGTGAAAAACATCCGAGGCCCCGGTCCATTCCAAGGAACACAGGCCCTGTAGGTGCTCGAGGCCCCAAGTTCTGTAGTGAATGAAGGTGGAGGTTGTTAGGGGAGTATACCAAGTGAAAATGCTTTATAAGCTGCATGCTTTTTGCAAGCTGTTGTGGTTCCCCTGCCTAGGCTGCTGCCACTGGACTGTAAGCCCCTGATAAAACTCCATGTATTTTTTGCTGGCTCTGGGTGTTTGGCCTCTTGAACCTCCATCCCCACTGGAGTCTATCGGGTTCGGCATGACAGCAGCTCAGGTGTAACAGCAATGTGGAGGCAGACTTCCTTTTTCCTCAGTGACCTCAGTTTTTGCTCTTAAGACCTTTAACTGACTAATGAGGCCTACTCACATTATGGAGGGCAATTCACTTCACTCAGAATCCATTAATTTAAATGTCAATCATATCCGAAAAATATCTTCACACCATCTATAGTGGTGTTTGACCTAAAACTGGGTCCAATGACCTAGACAAGTTGACACCTAAAACCAACCATCATAGACACATAGAATAACCACAGACAGAACCTGAATAAATGATATAGACAGAAAAGCGTAATGTAGGGGATAAAAAGTAGATTTGACTGGAAGAGAGAAACAGTATAGAAGGAATCGTAGTAACAATATAGCCATTTGGAAAGCAGAAAACCTGAACAGTGGCTAGGGAGTTAAGTCGGGAATGTTCTAATGATTTTTCACGTCTTCCCAGTCTTTGTTCCACTGTCCACTTTTAAAACCTTGAGCTGGACATATTTGATTTCCCTGGAGAAATCATTTGCAGGTAAAATGCCATCACTGCATTATTCTGCCACAATACACATTAAATGCAAATACTATGGTTGGCATAGAAAAAAGTCAGTGTTATGTAGAAGCACAAATAATAATTAGAGCTCTGCGTTATTACAGCTATAATACAGGAATAAGTTTTTAGTATTCCAGGAAAAAAGAAGTTTAATCAATTATATGGATACTGTCTTCCAGCTCAATTCCTGGGAAGCAGTGTCTGAAACGTTAACGCACATAACTGGTTAAAATCCAGCTGGATCACAAACTGTTATTTGAGAAGCAAACTGTTGAGTTAAAACACATAAAATTGATCACGAGGTCAAGAGATCGAGACTATCCTGGTCAACATGGTGAAACCCCATCTCTACTAAAAATACGAAAAATTAGCTGGGCACGGTGGCGCGTGCCTGTAATCCCAGCTACTCAGGAGGCTGAGGCAGGAGAATTCCCTGAACCCAGGGGGCAGAGGTTGCTGTGAGCCGAGATTGCGCCATTATACTTGGGTAACAAGAGTGAAACTCCGTCTCAAAAAAACACACACACACACATACACGCATGTAATTATTATCTATTCTTATGTTCATTTAAAGTTAAAACATTAGAATATATCATAATAAATGAATCAATTATGCAGTTATATAGTACTCTTAGTGATGCTGGATACAGCTCTGGCAATTTGGCAAGAATCAGTTCATCTCTTCCCAACTCCACATTTAGATGGCGAGTTGGTAACTTAATACTTGTGATAAAGAAAGTGACAACTGTCTTTTAACCATAGGTTCACTGTTTGTGTGAAAAAACTATTCACGACAGTTTACCGTTACACAATCTAATTCACACTACTCCTTTATCCTGCAAGTAAATTGCTAGCAAGCGGATTCTGACAAAATGTATGCAGATACAGTTAGATTAAAGTACTATCCTTAATCTGTTGAATATTTGTCTGGCCTTTGTCTTGGTTCCAAAACCTCTCAAAATTTTCCCAGCAATAGGAATATTTTGTTATTTATGGTAGGCCACTTGGGCTGTGCCTGAGTTTATGTTAACTAGATGACTCATAACGGGAAGTGGTCACATCAAAAAGACCAATTTTGTGATTACAGGGGTAGAACTTTCCGCAAAGTGGTATGTGCCTGACCTTTGGGGAGAGAAGCATAGATTGAGTTTAATCACAAGAAGAGTGATTCAATCAATCATGCCTTTGTAATGAAATTCCAGTTAAAACTGTGGACATAGATGTTCGGGACAGCTGTCCTGGTTAGCAATATCTTGTTCATATAACTGCTGTACACTGATGGGCCAGGAGAGTGATTCCTCTGAACCCTATGGGGAGAGGACAAAAGGAGGGTTCAAGTTTAGGACCCTCATAGACCTTGCCCTATACATCTATTCTTTTGGCTGGTCTTGATTTATATCATTTTTTGCTATGATTAAACTATAATCATTAAGTATAAGTATTCCTTGAGTTCTGCGTCATTCTAGTGTGTTATCAGTCTAGAGGGTATAATGAAAACTTCCCTCTCGAATTGGAGTCAGTTGGCCAAAAGTCGTCTAAAATCCCAAGTTTGAGGCTGGTGTCTGAAGTGAGAGCAGTCTTTCAAGGGTCTGTGCCCTCAAGTAACTCAAAGTCTGGCTTAACTTCAGGTAGTTTGTGTCAGAATTGCATCATACATCATAGATCTAAACAAATTTAAAAAATTGTTAGAAACATGATATTAAATGAAATGACATCTACTCCAACTTATTGCTTTTAGACACTTTTCAAGGTTTTAATTGGTTTCCCCATTACAGTGTTTTCCTCTTTATTGTCTTCTGACTTCAAACACCAAGCATATAAAAAGGTAATACTATAAACATGTGATACAACATATAATCGTCAAAGACACCTTATCTTTCCGTTATAGTCATCTTTGGGTTACTGTCTCAAAGAGGAAGAAAACTTGTACTTTGTTCATGACTAATGGCCAAATAGAGATTATTTAGGAAATAAAAGATGGAAAACAGCAGAGACTATAAGATAAAGTGTACCCTCATTTTTATTTTTAAATGTCTCCCTCTCCCTCACTCTTCTATTTTGAATTTTTGTCTCTTTCCTATTTTTTTTTTTTGCTATGCATCTCCAAGAAACAAACCACATTACTAAAAATCACTAGTAGTAATTAATTATTCCATTAAATGTAAAAGTATTTTTTCAAAAACTGATGTAGAATAATAATAGATATTTTTAAGAGGAATGATATTAAAAGCAAATATAATCAATTTTTGTAGCTTAAAGATAATTTAATTAATCTCCAGTTACCATTCATTTAGAGACAAAGAAATCATGCTAGATGTTAAAAGACTTACCCTAAATCACAAAACAATGGCTGAGTTGGCTTATAAAACAACAACGTGATGATGTTTAGATTTTAGTCTTTGTGTATTATCAAATTGAAACTGAGGACTGGGAAAAAAATGACAGGTAATATCAGAAATTGCCAAATAACAAATAGCAGCTTGGTAGTGTATTTACTGAAAACTTTAAGCAGAAGGGAGTCTAAGAAGGGGTTGGTTATGCTTGTGTTTTTGGCATCAATCCCTACAAAGAATTAACAGAGGTAACCTCAAATCCTTGGCAACTTTTCTTTCTAAAAACAATAAAAAATGTCCAAATAGTTAGCCATACCTAGATAGTCTGGCTCACTGGGTTTGGGGTACAACACAGACATCTACATTCTTAGAGTCTGATTTTTATTTGAAACAAGATTCTAAAACAAAATCTAGAATAGATGTGTGCAATAGAAAAATTCTGCCATGATGAAATATTCTGTGTATGTGCTGTCCAAAACAGTAGTTACCAGTTCCATGCGGTTATCGAGCACTTGACGTAGGACTAGGGAAGCTGAGGAATCGGTTTTTAAATTTAATGTTTAATTTATTTAGACTCAAATGTGCTACGTTGTTAAGCAGAGCACTATAGAAGACAGAAGACTTGTCCTCACGAAAAGCAAGTGCAAAGGAGCAGAGATGCAAAGCAGCACGGCCTAAGTTAAGAGAAACATTCAAGTATGTCAAGAAAAATGTAAAGACTAAGGTGTCTGATTAAAAATGGAATAAAAGTCAGTCTATATCTAGTGTATATTGAACAAACATTTGGGAAGAACCCAACAGAAGACTATTTGCAGTATACACCAAAGAGTAATGAAAGAGAACTTATCCCAAGGAATGAATGCCCACCTCATGGAATCTGTCCTAGAACTTTGCCAGCACATAGAAGGAAGCATAAATTCTCTTGCCCATGGATGCGTATCTGGGTCCCTGATATATAAAAATGTACCAAAAACTACTTTATCTGAGTCTATATAAACTTAGAACACAAACAGTACTCTGATAATTAAATAATATGAAAACCATTGTGATTCAGAAAAGACAAATGGTTGAACTATGGCATTATGGTTTTGAGATAACTGAAGATTATTTTAAGACATACACACACACAACTTACATTAGCTTTAGTATTAAAAACAGAATTGGTTTACATAATTTAAAATAATATAGTTGAAAAACTTTCATACATAATTTATTATAAAGAATCAAATAATATTATAAAGAATTTATCTTTCTCTGTCTCTTGTCTCAGCTTTCTTCAGAATTACCTTCACTTTCTGCCACCAGCAGTAAATTCAGGCTATTGTTTCCCCGAGTTCTCACTCACAGAAATGAGAGTGTATCTATCCGGAATTTCTAGCAAAAGCCCCGGGATTAGAACTTAATTAACTCTGATTAGATCCTATCACTATATGAATAAACGGATTTCAAAATCATGGTGCATGCATGCATACACACACACACACACACACACACACACACACACACACAGACACACTATCCAGCCTTTAAAAGTAAGAAAATCCTGCCATTTGCAACACCATGGATGAAGCTGGAGGATACTCTGCTAAGTCAAATAAACCAGACACAGACAAATACTATATGATCTTGCTTATATGTGGAATCTTTAAAAAGCCAAATATATAGAAACAGTAGAAAGCTGGTTGTTAGGGGCAGGGAAAGGAAGGGATTGGGAAGAAGTAGGTCAAAAGATACAAATTTGCAGTTATGTAGAATAAAGAAGTCTAAAGATCTAATGTACAGCATGAGGACTATAGTTAATATCTTACCTTGCTAATAGACGTTAGATGCTCTTAGCCCACACAGGCACAAAAGATAATTATATAAAATGATTACTATTTTAATTTCTTGACTATAATA